TAAAAGTTATATATAAACATACAACTTCATAGTTTTATTTTTTGTCAATGTTACTCATTTTTAAATATTTATTATCACTATCATTTATGAGGTATAAAAACAATTGAGAATCTGTCAGGACGTCAAAGAATAATATTTATTGTGCATTTAGATTTCAGATAACCCAAGACTTGTCAGTTTGTTTGGGTGTCTGTCCCCTACTATCCCATCATGCGCTAAATAGCTATTTTTCTTGAAATGTAATGTAATGTAAAACAAGAAGGAAAGCCTTTCTTTTATACAGTCTACTTTTTGGCTTTGCTATAGAAGACAGAATATTGAAACTGTATCTTAATTTTCTTTCCACAGAAAACTCTTCTTTGCAGACTATGGAAATGTTGCTAAAATTGAGCGGTGTGACATGAATGGGATGAACAGAACAAGGATAGTAGCATCCAAAATAGAACAGCCCATTGCCCTCACGCTAGACCTGATCAATAAATATGTCTACTGGGTAGATGTTTATTTAGACTCCATAGGAGTTGTTGACTATCAAGGACGCAACAGACATACAATAATTGAAGGTCGACAAGTAAGTATACTGTTTAATTCTAGTATTCCTTTTGATACATAAACACACATAGACAGAGGGACAAAGTTCAGAGAGAAGAGAGGATATTCATAGTTATAGCCACTTTTAATGTTAATGGAAGTATTTATAGAATGCTTTATAGGAAATCATAGGAAACAGTCATGTGAGCCTACAACGAAGTGAATTCTATGCCATTTCATTAATTTCAGCTAAAATTCTGCATATTTCTGTGAGCATTCACAGTGGGGTGTGAAAACCTGATCTAAGAAGAATTCCTCAAGGGCTTACTCATGAATGCCATTGACTTAACTAAAACCCATAAATTATAATTTCATTAACTCGAGTGAATAGAATTGTGCATGAGAACTGAGTATGCATAATGTACAGCTCAGGTACTTTTCCTGTGTTGGTTCCCTTACAGCTTAGCTGTTTTAAGTATTTTCAAAGAATCTAACAGAGGCCAGAAGAATGATGGCAGTGTTGGAGAGTAGGCATGCTGCAGTACAACAGAAATGTTAGTTTGTGAATTCAGCCTTTTGAAACACTCTCCCCTATTGTAAAGGAATCACATTCACACTTCTTTATATGAAAATATGAGAAGATGCATTTATAAGAAAATATGAGAAAATATATTTATTAGAGAAATACATTTGGGACTAAAAGGTGAAAGAAGTGCTAGCTCTAGTGAACTAAGCAGGAGATGTCAGGAGCCATGGCTGGCCTTTTCATCTCTAGAGGACAAAGGCAAGGCATCTCTTCCTTGAATGAACAAGAGAAAGACAGGAGAGAGAAGGAAGTAACATCAACAACTCTAAGAACTGCAAGCAGTCTAAAGACAAAAGAAGATTAGCACAGGTTAGAGCAGGTCAAGGACAGTCTAGGAAACTTGAGGAGTTCTATGTCTACTCCCCATGCAAAGATACGCACCTACTCACTTCCAACCACTGGCAGGGGGAGATTGTCAGAGATCCTGCTTTGATCTGGAGGTTTGTTTCTAATGTTCCCCTGAGTTGACTGCTGTGTAATTAGGACAAAAGATGGAATAAATAAAGCAATTTACCAGACTTTTTTGAATGAATAGAAGACATGGTTCAAAACAGCCAACCAAATATCTTTAATGGCTAGGATCCTACTGGTGTTCGCCCAAGTTTTGTGCAATTTTTCACAGCTAATTGCAGATAACTGACAAGGTGCTGGGCCATTTCTCTTTTTGTGTGTCTCACATTACACACCACCAATTGATCACGATTAAATGCATCAGGTACCACAAACCTTATGAGAACACCAACAGCCTTGTGCCCAATATTCTATAACATTAAAATTGTCATCCACTGTACACCCATGTACGTACAGATGCAAGAGGGATAGGAAAATGTATAGAAGAAATCTAAGTACAGTATCCATCACAATTTACAATGTACAGTAGGACCCCCATATCTGCTGGATCAATATCCACTTATTCAGTTAACCACTGTCTGAATCAGTGAACCAGACATTATGTTCTATAGGCGAGGCAACCTCCTTCCAGAGCAGCATTGTTATAAAACTCAAGTGCTGGTTGGGTGCCAATGCTGGAAGAGAAGTGCAAGACTTAAGCCAAACCACCTCTTGGGAGACATTCCCCACCCACCCCAGCCCTTCCTGCCTTCCAGCTAGCTCCTTCCTCAAGACTCTGCGGCCAACGAGGAAATGCATTCTTAATTGTCTTTAAAGAAGAAATGCCTCCGAGCTATTGAGATCATGTATGTGATCGAGTGAGAGTGAGAGATAGAGAGAGAACAGTCACCTTCAATCTTCAGCAGATTAGTTAAGGACAGAAGACTTCAGAGAAGACTTTGCTTTGATAGGGAGATAAAAATTACAGGTACTGGATCCAACAGACTGTGTTTGCTATAAACTGCGTTTTTCACCATCTGCTGGGGGCACCGGGGGGTGCGGCAGCTTGGAACCAATCCTCCATGCATATAGGAGTCCTACTGTAGCAGCATAAACAACTTTTCAGATTCCTCACTGCAGACCAAGCCGTATTTTCAGAAGATATTCATGAAATACTCGGGGGAATGTCTGGCTTCAGATACCAGTATCTTTTTTTTTTAATCAGCCATATAAGTTCCCTTTGCACCTAGCATAGTAGAGCAAAACATTGTATTGAGAGAGTTCTCTCTCTCTCTCTCTCTCTCTCTCTCTCTCTCTCTCTCTCTCTATCTATCTATCTATCTATCTATCTCTATCTATCTCTCTCTTTTTTTCCTCCATATTTTCCCCTTCTATTTGCCAGGAGGTGATGGGACCAGTGGCCATGATCTTAGGTTTTTTATGTTGATTTTTGGTAAGCTACAAAAATCAGTTGATATAAAGGTAGCTTCTTTCCTCCATATTTTCCCCTTCTATTTGCCAGGAGGTGATGGGACCAGTGGCCATGATCTTAGGTTTTTTTTATGTTAATTTTTGATAAGCTACAAAAAATCAGTTGATATAAAGGTAGCTTCCATTTGTGGTGTTTTGGTTGTTTTCATTTGCCTTTACTTAGAAGTATACCCTCTTGCATTTCAAAATTTTTTGGCCTTATCTCATTGTTTCATCAAATATGTGGCTAAACTGAATGGTTACTTGGGATTTCACTGTGCATAGGATCCATGCTTGTGCCTTTAGGATGCTACATCAGAAATATAGATGGTTTTTGCCTTTGCATTGTTTTCTTCTGATGAAAGTTTAACGAGGGCTCAAGTGCAGTTTCTCTCGAAAGTATTTCATATTAGTCACCATTGAATGGAGTCGATTGTGCTTGACCGTGTAGCATTTCATATGTTCTTAATTATGTAAATCTCCCCACAATTCTTCTGAGTTAATTTAAAATAAAATTATATTGTAAAAATGAAAAGAAAGCAGAATCTATCTGTGCTTTGTAACTTAATGAGTTTTTTTGTTGACAAATATTGATTTTTTTAAAAAAAAATGTGATTCGCATTATTCATTTCCATGTGTTGCCTTGCATTACAGATTGATTTGAACAAATTGTGATAAAATCAGATAATTGTGTGTTTTCTTCCTCGCAGGTTAGACGTCTTTGTGGGTTAACAGTATTTGAAGACTATTTGTATGCAACAAGTTTGGACAACTTCAATGTCATAAAAATAAATAGATTTAATGGCACAGACATACAATCATTAATTAGACTGGAAAATGCCCAAGAGGTCCATGTCTTTCACAAGAGAACCCAACCAACAGGTAAATCTCTAGCAATGTTCACTCCAACATTTTACTACCTTTTCATTTGAGGCATAAATGCCCAACTTGATTTAATCAAGTGATGATGATTCCATCTCCAGTATAGTTATTGTAGTTGTGCTGGTAAAACTTATTTTCCAACTGATTCAGAGTACTTTGTCTTTCGGAAAAAGAAGTTATTATTAGCTGTGTGTGAAATACCTCCACAGACTAGTGATGGCAATGGGATTAATGAGGATCTCTTGCAATGTGTTGTCTAATGACCATTTGAATCTGCAGGGAGAGGAAAGCTGTGGTGTCAGTACACCACGTTTGCTCTACTGGTTATTACAAATACAGTGGTGCCTCGCTTGATTTTAATTGGTTCCAAAAAATTCATCGTTATGGGAAAACATTGTTAAGCTAAACACGTTTTCCCATAGAGATGCATTGAAAACCGGTTAATCCATTTCAATGGGAACGGATTGCCGTCCTTAAGCGAAAATCGCCATAGGAAACATCGCTAAGTGAAAAGCGGTTCCCCCATTGGAATACATTGAAACCTTTTCAATGCATTTCAATGGGGGAGAAAAAAAAATCACCAAAAATTCAAAAAGAGTCAGAACAAAGCCAAATTTGGTTAACAACGGGTTTATTAAGTGCACTAACGATTTCAAGCACTCTAAACCCTTTTTAAACAATTTAACACCTTTTAAAAATAGCGAAAACGGAGCTGATCAGCTTGGCTTCGTCTCTCTCTCTCTCTCTCCACCCCTCGCAGCTCCAGCCTTGGCAGGGAGACTGACAGCCTCGGCAGGGAGACTGAGGCACCGCCACCACCACCCTGGCCGAGAAAGACCCTCTTAAGGTTGCTGCAGGCGCAGAGGCATCTACCTTTCCCATGTTTTACATTACATTCTAAATATAACTGAATTTGAATTGGATAGTTCTGAATATCTGTAATAGTAATTCCTAATGTTTGGAGTGTATCTGTAAATTAATATTTCTATTTTCATTTTTGTTTTGTATTTTACAAGTTATAACAGTACTCACAGAGTACTGCTGTGACACGAATGGGAGTGAGATAAAAATTGAATGAATGAATGAATGAATGAATAAATAAGGTTGCTGCAGGCGCAGAGGGTCTTTCTCGGCCAGGGTGGTGGTGACGGTGCCTCAGTCTCCCTGCCGAGGCTGGAGCTGCAAGGGGTGGAGAGAGACACGAAGCACAGCTGAGCAGCGGGGGGTTTGCGATGATCGGGTCCCCGTGATCATCGCAAAGCGAATTTTCCCCATAGGGGCCATCGCAAAGCGATCGCTCTTGCGATGGCAAAAAGTCCATCGCAAAGCGATTTCATCGTAAAACGGAGCGATCGCTATGCGAGGCACCACTGTTCAGTGGTGCCTTGCTTAACGAGCGCACCGTTTAATGAAGAATCCGCATAGCGATGCGGTTTTTGCGATCACTAATGCAATCGCATTGCGACGTTTTGAATGGCAAAACACCGCATTGCGATGTTCTAAAAACTGCCAATCGGTGGTTCCAAAATGGCCACCGGAAAAAAATGGCCGCCCACTCCGTTTTCACGCCCTGCCCTCGCTTACTGGGTGGCGAAAATGGCGGCCAGATGGGGGTATCTTCGCATAGTGGTGAGTTTTCACCCCATGTGGGTTTCCTCCCACATAGCAACAAATCCGATTAGCGACGTTAATCCTGGAACGGATTAACGTCGCTATGCGGGGCACCACTGTATATGCATTAAGCCGAAGAACCATAACTTGTTACTCAGAACTCCACAAAAGGTCAAGGTATTTTACTGTGCTTTTGACACAATTGCAATAACTTGTTTCCATGAATTAAACAATGTTGCACAGGTAAATCATGCAGCTGTGTCCCAACCCACAAATAAAGAGGCAAGATATGAGTGACAGATTTAATCTAGGGTCATATCTTTATTAAACAATTTCAGTTCCCTACATTGAGAGGGGCCTAAAGCAGTGTGGTTCCTTGCTCAAGAGCAAGGGTCCTTCCTGATCCCGCTCCCTCGTCCTATAAGGGTGAGACATGAGCCCTGCTGATCTGATGCAGCACCAAAGTCCAACACTGGAGGAATTTCCTGGGCCCATTTCCTCTCTAAGGCTCATGACTTTATTTTATTTTATTTAAAATATTTTGCCCCACCTTTCACCTAAAAAGGACTTGAGGCAGCTTACATCATTAAAAGCACAAGGTTCAAAGCTAAAACAGTACATTATTCAAATATTTTTAAAAGAATTGAGTAAACATTATATTAAAAATGTTAAATAAAAGTATTACTAAAATAGATTTAAAAGCAACAGGTATAGATACCATCCTGTTTAAAATCCTCTCTTAGATAGCCAGTCACTCAGGGAAAGCCTGCCTGAAGAGAAAGGTCTTCACCTGCTTGCAGAAGGACAGCAAAGATGGGACCACCCCGGCTTCCCATGGGAGGGAGTTTCAGAGTCTGTCAGGTCCTGTCCCGTGTTGCCACCAACACGCCTGTGAAGTGAAAGGCCTGTCTTGATTATCTTAACACCTGGGTAGCAGGCTCAGGAGGAGGATGTGTTCTTTGAGATTACTTTGACCCAAGCTGTTTAGGGCTTTATAGTGCTTCAAAATGCTTAAAGCCAACACTTTGAATTGTGCCTGGAAATGGGCGGGCAGTGGAGCTGCTGTAACAGAGTGTGACTAGGGACAGTCTCAAAGACTGTTCCCCATGTCCTGCCCCTGAATGCCATGATTCAAGGAGCTGTCTTGAATTCTCCTTCACCAAAAGGTGCCCCCTCGAATTCACCACTAATCACCCTCATTTCCACACTACCCATCCATCTGCGACTGTTGACTTAACTTGATCCTTCCTCCAAACTGCCCATCATGCCCCATGACCAGGGAGTGCAGGACAGGTGAAAAAAAAAGTCTGGGCCACCTTTTGCTCAATACTGTATGCCCATAAGGTGATAACAGGCTAAAATTCCTATTTGGCCCCTAAGTGACCAGTGGTGTTTTGGGCACACAGGGTGGTCAGTCAGGGCTAGAAAATTGAAAGGGGGCTGTCTTCTGGGCAGGGAGGGTCTAAGGATTAAAAGGGTTCTATAGATATTTATTTATTTTTAACTAGCAGTCAATATCTCTCTCTCTCTCTCTCTCTGCACTTTGCTTCTCCAAGACAAAAGGGAGTAGCTGTGCACAAAGACAGATTGCACAGATATAATGCTAATCTTGCTCTGGATTTAAGGATTTTTGTGGGCTTTCAGAATTCCTCAAGGTGTCTCATCAAGTTTAGATAGCCTAAATAGGTGAGAATTAAGACATTAGCATGCATTTGTTAGAACCCCTACTCTATATAAAGGCAAAAAAAAAAAAAGATGTGGAAGATAGGTCTATTTTCTCACAAAGCATTCTGTTTCACATATTATCAAGCACTCGTGTAGTATACAGTGAATAAGAGAATATCCACACGTCCTATTATTCAGCACATGGAGAATACTATAAAGAAGTGCACTACTGCAAGCTGACCTCCTTTTCTTGCTGTGTAGATATTAGGTCCTTTGTTGCATCCTTTGCGATTACGTTTTACCCTTTTCAACCTTTTGTATGCTTTGATGAGTACTTTTTACTCTGAATGGAGATGCTGTTGCTTGCTAAGGTTTCCCTTCTGAGCTATTTTCTTTATTAAACTAAACAGACGTTGTGTGCAGAAAGGAGGATACAATTCAAGCCACAGGCTTTTAATAATTATTGTGCGGTACCATTTTGAATTGTATATACAATGGGCTTTACAGTCTTTAGTATATTTTTCTTCCAAGCACTTGGTGTTGTCATTTTTATAGTGCCTGAGATGAAGCTTAAATCAGAGTCTTTTGGGGTCAAATCCTACACATTATGCTCGAGAGTGCTCATATGGGCTGTCAAATGATCACCCGAAGGTATTTAAGACAAAAGAAACCAAAGCAACTACTCTTTTAAATGCGAAATGATATTTATAGACAAATGTATCTCAGATAGCAAGCAATGCAGCCTACACAATTGCTAGAACAGCTGCTCTAGAACTGGTTCAGTCAGTAGTAGAAAACCAGACAGACACTTCCTTTAATGACTGTTGGCATAACATACATCCAGTGTCAAAATAATCTCTAATATAGCTAAGAACTAAAGGAGAAAAACATCTCACATGAGGGGGGGGGGAAGGTTTCACAGATGAAGAAGCACCTCTGTACAAATTTGCTTAGACAAGTCTACAGAGCTATAGTATCCAGCACTGCAGAGGAGTGCAGAGGAGACATAGAATTTTAAAAAAAACCAGCAACAACAGGCCAGATGTGTGGGCCAACCTTCTTTGCTTAAATCATGTGGTTTGTTTTTGGCTAGGAACAGGAATACAGAAACATGCCAAACCCCGTATCAACAAAGTTGACATGAAAATATGTGAATTAAAATAAGATTCTATGTAGGCATTTTCCTCCCCCTTGCAACAGCCAGTCTCATCTGGCACTCTTAGATAATGTCACACATCCAATCATTTTAGCCAGGGGAAAAAGCCAATGTACCTACATTTATATAAAACAGTAGAGAAGTGGAGACTAACATCATCACAGAAGAGAATAATTCAGTCCTTCAAAAAAAAAATCACCACACTCCTCTTGTTCATGCAGGTAGTGTATTGCTTCTGAGCCTATGATTCAAAACATCAGGAAATGGTCCAACATTTCCTTGTAATATAGTGCTGATATTGCCAGGAAGCAAAAGAATGCCAAACCTTACGTAGCAAAAGTGAGCTATGCCAATGGTAGCAGTCAGAATGGTGCACAGCAGTGGTTCCCAACTTTGGATCCCCAACTTCCTGATATCCTGGACAGGACAGATAGTGGTGAACACTTCTGCAAGTTTTATTCCAAGAGCAACTGGAGATTCAAAGTTGGAAACCACTGTTGTGCGGGATTCCTTCTTGTCCTCACTACCATTGAGAAAGCAACACCAAGAAAGGGAAGATCCGAGAACATGACTCTCCCCCTCCCATCAGTTAACTGTTTCTCACCTAGACAAAAAGCGATTGTCATGACTCTTTTTCAAGAGGTCTATAGATATTTATCACACGGAGACATGCAAAGAAGAAATCCTCTGTATCAGTGTCTGAATTATCACCATGCACTGTGATGAAACTACGGCTCATGATCACTAAATTACAGTGGCTAATTCACCTAGGTGACTGTGTGTGTTTTGTTAGCCAGGCTTTCTAAGGCCCACTTGACTTCGCTCTCCAGGAGTGGCTAATTCACCTAGGTGACTAGTTGTACATATGTGTGAACTGGTTCTTGATTTGACTGCAGGAGTGTGTGGAGTGGGGTGGCTTTGCCTTCAGATTTCAGTTTTTGAACTTTGTTGCTTCAGACAACAGAGGTTATATCACCTTCCTTCCATCTACAATTTTTTAATCTGAAATGCTATCAATGTGCCAAACACAAGGTGATGACTCATAAATTCTTGTATTATGGAAGGAGCCAGGGGAATAGGTGAAATTATTTGCTGTTGTATGATGCCTGTCATGAAAGAGCAAATAATAATTCAGGAGGTGGTCAGAGTGCAGCATTGGTGCCCATTATTTGAAAATAGATTTTGCAATGTGAATATCACAGACAATCAGATGTCTAATTCCACAAGAGGGAAGTGACTTGATGGCCTGTAACAACAATACAACTATGGAAAAGTAACTTGACTCCACCTTTCTTCTACATTCTGATACCTAGAAATACAATGCATATTGTTGCATGGGGTGGAAATTGTGTTATTTGTTAAAGAGATAGCAACCCAATACTTTTCAGTTCAAAGGGCAGGTACTTGAGTGGACATACAGTAGTTAATCTGAAAGATATTTCTTCTAGGCATTTTGATTACTTTGTGCCTCGAAGTACTACCCAGAGAACTTGCTGAAAAGCAGCCCAGACAATTGCTTTTTTTTGGCTAAGAGATGTTTGAACTGGTGGGAAAAAAAAGAGTCAGGTTCTGGGGGATTTTCCCGTGCTTGGTGTCACTTTGTGAATGGTCATGAACACTAGAAGGTATCCTGTAGACCAGGCTTGTCCAACCTGTGGCCCGAGGGCCGCATGCGGCCCAGGTCGGCTCGTAATGCGACCCAGTGCAATTTTGTATTTTTAACGAAATTCCAAAATTTCAAGTTACACTGCCGGCGCTTGCAGCCGGAATGCGGCCAGGGCACGTCACAATGGTGGGGGGGGGAGGGGGAAGGAAGGAGCGATAGGGAGGGGAGGGGAGAGAGGGTCTGCGTGACTGCATTGCATCATCCCCATCAATAGGTGCATCCCCTCCTGGCCCCATAAAGCCACCGGAGTCGAAGCTTGGCAGCCTCTGCTGTCTGAGATTGCAGCTGCCGGTAAGCACGCTTGGAGCGGGGCTGCGGAGGACAGCTAGGGCTGCCCCCCATGCAGCCCAAACCAAATGTATGTGCGGTCCAAACCAAATTTTCATCTTCTAATGTGGCCCAGGGAAGGTGAAAGGTTGGACACCCCTGCTGTAGACCATCTTGACTGCTGCTGTTGGTGTTGTCAACATTCAGGCTGACTGCCTTTTGCTATGTAAAGTTTCGCATCCTTTTTCCTGGTGGTAGATGTCAGCACAATATGAGAAGGCAATATTGGACTATTTTCTTATATTTTGAATTGTGGACACAGGAGCAATATTCCCCAGTCATAAGCCAGAGTTTTTTTATACATTGAACTTCCTGACTTTTTAATACAGAAATTGAGTAAGACACAATGCACTCAATAGTCAGTGAAAGATGTTTTCTGGAGGTTCAGTGTATGGTACCATATGTATCTGCAAATAAGTCCCACTGAATTTACTAGGGCATCTTTCTGAGTAGGCTTTTTAGCACCTATGTGTGATTAGCCCATCCATTTGTTTCTGGTTAGTGTATCTGCAAGCAATCCTGCCTGCCATCATACTCAGAAGGAAGTCCAGCTAAGTTCAGCAACACCTATTCTTGTAGTAAGGCTGCAGTCCCAATATGCCCTCTTACATCAGGTCTAGTCACTTCAAAGAGTCTGCTGAGTTCCTAGATGCAGAACTGCAGGCTAAGCTTATTTCTTGAAAATAAGCCCTGTTAAACTGAATTCGGATCCTTTTGAAGTATCCAGTAACTGACTTGCTGTTTCTAAATACTTGAGAAGGGAAGAAAAAATGGAGGTTGGACAAGACCTCTTTTGGATTACTGAGGCTGCAGACTGTTCTGTAGAAGTTCTCCGTCTTCCTCCCCATACCCTCTCCTGTGGTTCCTCTTCCTTGCCTCTCTCTCTCTCCCTCCCCCCCCTCTCCCCTGTGGCTCCTCCCTTCCCCCCTCTTGCTCTCCTGCTCCTCTGTCTCTCTCCCTCCCTCCCTCCCTCTCTCCCCTGTGGCTCCTCCCTTCCCCCCTCTTGCTCTCCTGCTCCTCTATCTCTCCCCCTCCCTCCATCCCTCTCTCCCTCTCCACATTCTCTCTGCTCCCCTCTCTGTGTCTCCCTCTTTCTCTTTTCTCCACCCCCCATGACTTCTCTCTGATTTTCATGGCTCTCCCATCGCTTTCTGGGCTCTTTTCTTTCATGTCTCCCTCTTTCTCTTTTCTCCACCCCCGTGACTTCTCTCTTATTTTCATGGCTGTCCCATCTCTTTCTCTTGGCTCTTTTCTTTCACTCACTAGCTCTCGCTCTCTCTGTTTTTCTCTCTTTCTCTCTCTCTCTTTCTCTTTCTCTTCCCACAGCTCTTCTCTTTCAATCCCTTTCTTTTTATGTGTCTTCTCTTTGTTTCACTCACTCACTCTCTGGCTCGTTTCTCTCTTTCTCTGTGGCTCCTTTGTGCATGTATTTGTCAGTGACACTGATTCCTGTAGTAAGGCTGAAGTCCCAATCTATTATCTTGTCCAGAAGCAAGTCACATGTATCAGGAATCACTTTCTTATCAGGAAGCAAATGGCATCATTTGAAAAATAGCTACAGAATTTGTTATATGCCATGAAAATAAAATGGTAGCAAAATAAATACATGTATGGATTGAGAACCTTTTTAAAAAACCCAAACATTACAACTTTAAAAGTACTTTTCCAAATGACTTCAAATTTAGCACAGAGCAAACCCAAAGTCTCCTTCCAATTGAACTCAATTCAAGAACCTGTTCAAAAGTTATAACTTTTTGTTTGGACTACCCCCTCATATCAGTAATGATTTCTAAAATGCTGTTTTAACTAGTCAAGCTAACATGGAACTGAGTAAGCAGCACACTTTGAATTGAAATGGTCACAGTTCCTCACTGTAATATGTCTACATCCCATCCATTTCCTTGTTTTTAACCAAAGAAGATCTTAGCAGTGCCCTATTCAGATATGTAGTGTGTAGTTTTTATGAACTGTGTGCTGTTTCCCTTTTATTAACCACCACTCTTAAACTCTTTCCTCCTGGGAATATATAAAGACATGACAATGTACTGGTTTGTCTTTCAGCTAAGCCCTTTCCATACTGCTGTATATGACAGGCTTGTTTTCAAAAGGATTTCCAACCTGCTGTTTTTCATTTGTTGCAGTCAGGAGTCATGCATGTGATCTCGACCCATATGGCATGCCAGGGGGATGTTCACACATCTGTTTGCTGAGCAGTAGCTACAAAACCAGGACGTGTCGCTGCAGGATGGGCTTCGTCTTGGGAAGTGACGGCAGGTCATGCAAAAGTATGTTGTTTAAAACGGCAGACTTTGCCAGAAGCTAATATATTAGAGTGGAACACTGTTAATTAACATGACCAACAGCAGCACTAATTTCATTTGTTAGTTGATGGCATGTGCTTGGCAAGATGCTCCTGCCATAATACTCTCATGCTGTTTTTATTTCCTTTTATTGTCTGTTTGGCAGGGGCTGAGCCCTGCAGCAATAGAGGTGAGTAGACTAAGCTTGTGGCATGAAGGTTACAGATAACACCAGCAAGAACTCTTTGCAGTCTTCTCCTATCTGTTGTTACCATTTTCTCATACAATATGCTATTGTGGTAGCATTTGTCTTAATTCCACAAAATCTTTCCCAAGCTGCAGTAAGGGCTCTTGGACATTATTATTTTATAACCTTCAAATGTCCAAATGCATCTTGGTTCTTAATTTAGTTAATACCTGTTCCATTTAATTTAAGTTGGATTTCATCTGTGTAAATAAAAGGTTTTCCAGTTCCAATGCCACCAAAATCTCGTTGACTCAGAATCTGACAATAGTTCCATATTCCCAGTGTTTTGCTAACTGAAAACATTCTTAACATTGTAGAAGTATTTTCCTTCTTTAAACACTTCATTGTTCGCAGTGAGCAATAGTAGTTATGTTTTGTTTCAATTTTAAAACATTTATTTTCTACCTTTTAGTCCATGAGCTTAAAGGCAAATCAGGAAAATGGAACGTAAAAACAAATTAATGAAGACAAAAGACATATGAACACAGTTGTAAGAGAGATACATAATAGCCAAAGCCTGTGGGTTCACAGTTAATTTAACCCAAAGGATCTCTTTCTTAAATGCTGAAGGCTTGCCCGCTTATATTTCAGAAAGCCAACTGTGGAACAGGTATCACACACTTAAACACTTTGATTGAAATTGCCATCCCCATATTTTTGAAGTTGAGATTGCAAGGAATCAATGAAAAGGATGCAAGCAGTTGAAACAAACTATGTGAACAGGTTCATAAGGAAATCAATGTCTTTTTGCCTTAATGAATTTCCTTAGAAGACCAGTTCAAATGGTTGGATCCATCTTTTAAGGCTTAAAGGAACTAAGATAAGAATGCCTTAGGGACCTGGGATCAAAATACCTTAGGGCTTGATGAAGATCTTTTATCTAGCACTTTATTTGTTATCAAAACTGACTCTAAAGAAACATGTTCAGTGTTAAGTAGCAGATCTTTAAAATAAAGGGAGAAGTCTATATAAAGGAAGTCCAACCTTTTTTTTAGGAACCTAGAGTATGAAATCAAGCATTTAAGAAACAAACAAATAAAATTGACATCTGGCAGTCCCTTTTTTCAGGTTGATAGAAAATATCATTTATACATATTCAAATAAGTGAAATAATAATATTTCCCTCTAAATTGTTCAGCACAAATTCTGGCTTTAAAAGAACTTGGCAAAGTATAGCCACTGTACTGAAGCGTGTGCTATTGTTTGGCTTAATAGCACTCAGTAGATCCTAATGAATTGTAAAACGACTGCAAGAAAGCCATTTTACCATGGCTATAATGTTATCCTGTGATCTATTGGGTTTTTTAAACATGTATTGTTACAGAAAAGGCAATGATTAATTAGGTATAACTCAGTCACAGAAGTAATTTGTGTTTTAATTAAGATAATGCAATTAACCAGTCATCTTGAGTTTAGATACATTCAGAATATTTGAAAGCTTAATTTTAGGTATTGGATTTAAAAAAAAACACAGCAACCACTAATTGCAGCAGTTAATTAAACAGTGACAGTTTTCGGTGTAAAGAAATTAGGCAGCATTGGCACTTTATGTTTGCAATCTTTCTTTCACAGGACCAAAGAATGAGTTGTTCCTGTTTTATGGAAAGGGACGCCCGGGAATCATACGGGGAATGGATTTGAGTAACAAAGTAGCTGATGAATATATGATTCCAATAGAAAATCTGGTCAATCCTCGAGCCCTGGACTTCCATGCAGAGGCCAATTACATATACTTTGCTGATACTACCAGCTTCCTGATAGGACGTCAGAAAATTGATGGCTCAGAGCGCGAGACAATCTTGAAAGATGGTAGGTAGAACTTAGAAGCATTTCATCCAAAGGCAGGAGGTGGAAAGTTTCATTTGCAAGAACTTGGCACCATTTAGTGTTGTTTCTATGTTACATACTATATATTGTGTTACACCATAATGTCCAGAGTATTCCAACAGTCCTTTTTCCAATAAATCAAGTCCTACCATACTCTTATAAAAGCCCATTTTTGAAAACACCATTAGTCTAAATTGTATGGACCAAGGGAAAGATACAGTCATCCATCTCACCGGCTTCAGTGATCACCACATTATATGTAGACATATATTGCAAAGAAAATTGTTTCAAAAGTTGCTATTTAATTAACAATGGAATTCCTTTGCTATTATTCATACCCCATGCTGAATCGATGCAGATTGTAGAGCTGTGGCCATTTTTGTGCCTTGATGCTTTGTTTCATACATATTTCACTGCATCCATCATAAGTAATGAGATTTTCTTAACTGCTTTGGAAGAATAATAATCTTAAGAAAGAAACTCTATGTGCTTTTTTATACTGCAATGAAAATCTATATTTACCACTGCAGGTTAACTACTAGGTGCACTAATCTTCAGTGAGCAGCAGTAGATCTGACTGAGCTCCTGAGGAGACACACAATACACTGTTTTCTATAAACTATACCTGGTAGAAGCTTGATACTTTGTTTCCTGTTGTTTGTTAGTACAATTTGTTTAGATGTTTAACCTAGCATTATTCTTTGCCTGACAGATGCTACTATTGTTTCTATGCTTCTATCCTTCTTCTACTCTTTCTGACAAATCCCAAATCAAAGGGCATACTTAGAGATTTTTAAAGGGAAGAACTATCACAAGCATTCCCATCACTTCCCTTTCTTTGTTGCCACATCTTCTGCATTGGCTTAAACTAAAAGGGTCTTGACCATAAAAAAAACAGGGATGAACAACAGGTGAATAATAACCCCCACACCTGGACTATCCATTCATGTTTTGTAGAACATCACACATCACATTACATAGTTTGCCTGTTGTTGCTGTGTGCCATGAACTCATCTAAGTCCTACAGTTAATAGTTCTTCTCAGGTTTTGCAAACTAAAGACCATGAATTTCTGTATTAAGTCAATCAACCTCATGTTAGATCTTCCTGTTTTTCTTTTGTCTTCCACTCTTCTTAGCATTATTGTCTTTCCCAGTAAACCTTCTTGTTGTCTCCTGGTATGTCCAAAGTATGAGAAGCTCAATGTAGTCATTTTAGTTTCTAGTGTGGATACATTTTGCTTACAATGTAAAATATATCTCAGGCAAACGTTGGAAACATTGAGCCTAGAACTGAATTCAGACTGTAGAGGAGTGAATACCAGTGAATGGTGAGGCCAATGACAAAAGGGTGGTACCAAAATGCCAGCGTTGCGTAGCTAGTAACAAACTTTGGAGAGGCATTTTCACATTTTAGAATAGCATACCTCCTGTACAGATTCTTGGGAACCCATCGAAGAATTTTATCATTGTTAGTACATGTGGTGCTAAAGCTAACACCACACAATGATATCATAAGGGAGAGTATGTAACCATTTGAAAATCCTCAAAGCCAACTCAAGAGCCCTGGATTGGATCTAGGGTTTCCCTATCACTGGTGTAAAGATCAAGGTGCACCCCTGTAGATGATGTTTAGATGTTGTCTGGATTTCTACTCAGTTCATTCCTAGTTAACATAGCCAATAGAGGGAAACACTGGGACTTGCAGTCTGACACGTGTGAAGGGCTGCAGTTTGATTGGAAGGGATTTTGGCCCAGGATAGGAAGAGCTCTGGCCTAACTGCCTGTTAGAAAGTATGGTGCCCCAGTGCTTGCTGGGAAATCTTAAAGAGTTGACCTGTAACACTGTACATGGCTTGGAGCCAGAAATTCTGAATGACCTTCTTTCCCTGTATGTTTCTGCCTGAAATTTAGTATCCTTAGTGGAGGCCTTCTGGTGTGTCCCATGATCCTGAGAGATTGCACTGATGAATACACAAGGCAGAGTTTTTCCTTGTAGCAGCTTCTGGCTTCTGTCAAGCAGTCCAAACTGTACGAGGCAGAGTTTTTCCTTGTAGCAGCTTCTGTCAAGCAGTCCAAACTGTACAATTGCATTTGAACTGTAATTTTAAAATTGACTTTTGAAATCATTCTAAATCTGCCCTTAAATAAGATTTCAGATACATTTTATTGTATATTGCTCTGCCATATGGGCAGAAAAGCAACTAATAAATATTTTAAGTAAATAAACATATGTTTTATCATCTGAAGGATCATTCAAGAGCAGCTCACCATGGAAATACTTAAGAAAAAGTCTCTTGGTATGTGTTCTGTGCTTCAAGAAATAAAATCTATTATTTTATTTTTTTTATTTATACAAATTTATTTGTATTTCTGTATGAATATATTTCCTGCTTGTTCCCTTAGTGTGAGATGTGAAATTGGCTATGTAACATATTTACATAGCATGTGTTTACTTTGGCTGCCTACAGAAAATGCAGGTAGCATCAGGCCAGTGATTATATAAAAAAGAGATAAGGCACAAGATTAAGGGTTGTGGGTTGAGTCCAATAGAATACTAGATTTTGCACAACTCATGTTCCTCTCAAAATGCACACCTATATATTCTAGAAATGTAATGTAAATGTATACAAAATCAAGAGCCTAAATTTATGTATGGATCTTCTATGTATTAACAAGTCATCATGGGACTTAGTTGGTTCCTATGATATTGCCATTCCTGTACCAATACTGTATCCCTTTTTCTAAGATGGCCTGTAAAGTTAAAGTAATATTATTCTCATCTCTGAAATCCAATTAGTCAAAACTCATTTTCCTAGTGTATAAGCTCTAGCATAATTGTGCCCAGACAATTATGCTAGAGATTTTACAAGAAAGCAACAGAGATGTGTACGTATGTTTAAACCAGCCGATAGCCTTGCTATCAATTCCCTTAAGGGCCAAGTTTACCTTCTCAAAAGTTTGCCTTTCATTATCTGTTAGAAGTACATAAATTATTAAAATTGCTAAAACGTTGCTCCTCAGTTGGAGTAGTAAAGGGGAAACAGATTGAAGCATAGTTAAATGTAAGAACTTGAAAAATCAACCTGTTGCTACTAACATTGAAAACTGAAAATGTTTACCTTGCTAAACTGACATTGAGTGTATTCTATGCCATCCAGTCAGAACCAACTAATAGCAACTCTAATGGGGTTTTCAAAGTAAATGAGATATTTAAGGTTTTACCAGTTCCACTCCCTCAGTAAATTTCCATGGCCAAGTGGGGATTTGAACCCTGTTTTTCAGAGCCTTAGTCCATCTATCCACTATACCACACTGGGGATCCGTGTTAGTAACTGACATTACTAACATCTTAATTAAAACACTACTTTGGTGTGCTCTCTATGGGGAGCACATTAATCTATTCTTTCCATCAAAAGCCCCATTCCTAAATAGACAGGAAGCTTACATGACTTACAGGGGGTCAGTTACTTCCTGTTTTGAAGTAGCATACAATTTTCCTCGGTTTTAATACTATGCTACTGTATATAGAAAAGAAAGTCTGTGTATTGATTTTCCATAAACTTTCAAAATGTGTGCACCTCTATTATGCCATATCTTAGCTATTTTTTCTAAGCTGAAAAGAGCAATATTATAATGTAACAAATCAATCTAGTGTGTTAGAGAATGGAATGGTTTGCTAATAAACATACCGCTGTAGCTGCTAGATTTAATTACTTTGGAAGATGCCAAGTCTGGTGCATTTGGAAACACAGAAATAGGAAAAAAAGCATATTTTTTTAAAAAATATTTGATATATTGTAAGATCTGGAAAATCTTTGTTCTAATGATCTAAAGTGCCTAATCTGCATTTAGCCTTGTGTAAAGTATTTTCTGTATATGTATAGTTATTTTCAGATCTGGGTATATTATGTTTTGCAGTAAATGCCTCCCATGTAACTTTCTGTGGTATCACAACTTTATTTAGAAGATTCTCTTAATGTGGAAGTTCCTGGCTTTTTTAAACATATATGTATTGTGCATGTTTCCTTTGTTGGGATATCGTGAATTCTACATTCCAGCCACTATGGGGTTAATGTCTTTATCTTAGCTGAAGTGGAGCTCACTTGGAAGGATGCCCTAGTTTAGAGACAATGAGTTCTGTTTCTGAACCCTCTAAGAGCCTATAAAAGGAGTCAATAGGTTTTGCTTCACTTAGAGATGTAGACAGTGGTGCAGTCAGACAGAGACTGTGTGTGCTTGCCATGTGCGTTGCCTGAGCTGATGTTGCCCGACTTGCTTTCATTATTTTGGTATGTTTTGTTACGTAGTCTTTGTAGTTTGTTGTTTTTCTAGGAATGCCTTATTTACCCTTCCCTAAGAAACCCTGTTTATTACCTTATTACTTCACTTTTGTCTCCATTTTTTCTGCAATCCTTGACAATGACTAAAATCCTATTGCTTAGCATTTTGTTGTTGTTATTTAGTCGTTAAGTCATGTCTGACTCTTTGTGACCCCATGAACCAGAGCACGCCAGGCCCTCCTGACTTATACTGCCTCCCGGAGTTGGGTCAAATTCAGGTTGGTCGCTTCGATGACACCGTCCAACCATCTCATCCTCTGTTGTCCCCCTCTCCTCTTGCCTTCACACTTTCCCAAAATCAGGGTCTGTTCCACGGAGTCTTCTCATGAGATGGCCACAGTATTGGAGCCTCAGCTTCAGGATCTCTCTTTCCACTGAGCACTCCGGCTTGATTTCCTTTAGAATGGATAGGTTTGTTCTCCTTGCAATCCAGGGGACTCTCAAGAGTCTTCTCCAGCACCACAGTTCAAAAGCATCAATTCTTCAGCTGTCAGCCTTCTTTATGGTCCAACTCTCACTTCCATACACCACTACCAGAAAAACCATAGCTTTGACTATGCAGACTTTTGTCAGCAAGGTGATGTATCTGCTTTTTAAGATGCTGTCTAGGTTTTTATTTATCTATCTATCTATCTATCTAT